CAGCAGTAGCAGCAGCGGTAGCAGCAGTAGCAGTAGCAGCAGCAGCAGTAGCAGCAGCGGTAGCAGCAGCAGCAGCAGTAGCAGCAGCGGTCGCAGCAGTAGCAGCAGTAGCAGTAGCAGCAGCAGCAGCAGCAGCAGCGGTAGCAGCAGTAGTAGTAGCAGCAGCAGCAGCAGCAGTAGCAGCAGCGGTAGCAGCAGTAGCAGCAGTAGCAGTAGCAGCAGCAGTAGCAGTAGCAGTAGCAGCAGCAGTAGCAGCAGTAGCAGCAGCAGCAGTAGCAGCGGCGGCGGCGGCGGCGGGTGAGGCCCGACCAAACACGAACCCCGTGACTGAAAGACATGCACCTCACGGACCTCACAAACCAACCTGACACTAGCTGTCGCGGTGCTGACGTAGCTACGTTGTGTTTACCCCGCAGCAGGTAGCGTCCCCTAGTCAGGTGGCTACGAACGGCGGCGGAGCAGTGGTCATCGGTGGGGAGGTGGCGCCACCGCAGCCGCAGATTTTGACGCCGCCGACGGTCGTGCCGCAGGCCGGACAGTTCATCTGGGCCGTCTCGAACCTGGAGTCGATACCGCCGGGGGCCGTGTTGATCAATCCACAGACAGGTGAGTTAGTTCCACCTAGTACTGTGCTGGTCAACCCACGAAGAGGTGAGTTGGTGCGAGCGTGCGTGCGTGCGAGCGGGTGCGTGCGTGCGAGAGTGCGTGCGTGCGTGCGTGCGTGCGAGAGTGCGTGCGTGCGTGCTTGCGTGCGTGCGTGCGTGAGTGAGTGCGGGTGTGAGTGCGTGAGTGCGTGCGAGCCATGTGTGCATGAGTGAGTGCGTGCGTGCGTGCGTGCGTCCGTGCAGGCGTGCGTGCATGCGTGAGTGCGTGCAGGCGTGCGTGCAGGCGTGCGAGCGAGCGTGCGTGCGTGAGTGCGTGCGGGTGTGAGTGCGTGAGTGCGTGCGAGCGTGTGTGCATGAGTGAGTGCGTGCCTGTCTGTGTGCGTGCGAGCGAGCGTGCGTGCGTGCGTGACTGCGTGCGTGCGTGAGTGAGTGCGTGTGAGTGTGCATGAGTACGTGCAAGCGTGTGTGCGTGAGTGCGAGCGTGAGTGCGTGCGTGCGTGTGAGCGTGACTGCGTGCGTCACAAACTCACGCACGCTTGCTCGCATGCACGTGCGCACGCACGCTTGCAAGCACGCATGCACTCACGCAGTCACGCACGCACGCATGCACGCACGCACGCACGCACGCACGCACGCATGCACGCACGCTCGCACGCGTCACGGCGTAAAGAATGAGCGTGAAGGCTGTTTTTAGCAATAACAGAGCGCGGCATGCGTGGTGCGAGTGAATCAGAATCAGAATATGCACGGCAGCTGGCCTCTTCATGATAGTCGTCTCACAATGTCCGTTCTAATATTGAACAGTTTTAGGTTGAAGATCTGGGGGGAGGGGTTTGATAATTAACACAACAAGTTATAAACTCTTCAGATAAATTTGTCGTGCAAGGTAAAAACGTGTACAACGTTATATAAAACTGTTCAGGTACTGTTTATTCTGGATAAGACATCCGTTTCAGCCACGAACCCAACAGATTGTACAGTGACCAACATGATACTAGTCGATTTCATTTACCAGTTTGTGGGTAAACCATCACACCCACAAGCTAGAATCGAAACTCACCTTTTGCAGTGTGACCATCATGATCCCTAGGCAGTGAAATGAGCTTGGGTGTTTTTCGTGTGGGTTAGCCCACACACTTCAGGTTGACACACAGTCAACTACACTGACCAACTGACTAACTGACTACCGCACCCACCCAACAACTCAAAAAGCCACCGCACGCACGCATGCTGGCACGCACGCACGTTGTGGCTGCGGCGATGGCTGGGAGGGTGGTAGCGGTGCGGGAGCGGGCTGCTGCTGCTGCTGCTGCTGTTGTTGTGGGGGCGGGGCACCCGGCGGCTGTTGCTGGGCTGGGCCGGGCAGCGACGAGCACACTGAGTGTCGGTACACGCTCCCGTCCGTGTTCAGATACGCTTGCCCTGCCGATGAAAAATCACACACACGTCGTCACGGCATAAAGAATCATCACACACGTCGTCACGGCATAAAGAATCATCACACACGTCGTCACGGCATAAAGTATCATCACACACGTTGTCACGGCGTAAAGTATCATCACACACGTTGTCACGGCAGAAAGTATCATCACACACGTTGTCACGGCGTAAAGTATCATCACACACGTCGTAACGGCGTAAAGTGTCATCACACACTTCGTCACGGCGTAAAGTATCATCACACACGTTGTCACGGCGTAAAGTATCATCACACACGTTGTCACGGCGTAAAGTATCATCACACACGTTGTCACGGCGTAAAGTATCATCACACACGTTGTCACGGCATAAAGAATCATCACACACGTTTATTATTATTTATTATTATTGCTACTACTATTACTATTATTATTATTATTTATTATTGCTATAACTATTATAAATTTATGTTATACACAGCGTACTTACTGAGGAGTACTGTCTCTGTACAGGGGGCGGCTCCTGCTGCTGCTGTTGTTGCTGCTGCTGCTGCTGCTGCTGCTGCTGCGTGGGTGGGATGACAGGTGCAGCAGCAGCAGCAGCCGCCGCCGCTGCCGCTGCTGCTGCTGCTGCATAGAATTGTGCTTGTAATAATAATAATAATAATAGTAGTAGTAGCAATGATTTAAAATTAATAAAAATTAATAAAATTAATCATTTCAGTAATAAATACTGACGATCGACAGATAACTATAGAAGATATCTAATAAAAATTAATGTCACTCGTTGTTGATGACATAGGTGGTGTATTGTGTAAATAGGTTTGCTAGTTGGCGGTGTTGATTGATTGATTGATTGATTATTGGTGCAGGAGTCTGCGGGCGATGCACCTGTACAGTATCAGCACCTGCACATGACGCATTCACAGTCTCCCGACAGCTCGGTCGACTATCATCCACAACAGATGGCGCCACACGTGCCTCAGCAGCCGTTCCCATGGCCGGGCATGCGCATGCCTGTCGTCTCCGTTTATGCACCTAACGGCCAACACCACCCTCACCAACAGCAGCAGCAGCAGCAGCAGCAACAACAACAACAGCAGCAACAACAGCAGCAACAGATGCAAGGGCCTCCACAGGTACGACATGAATCATACGGGCATGAATCGCTTTGCGTAGTGCGGTGGCTCGCAATATAATAGTTGATCATCGAGAAGTCTATCTCGTCAGTGACACATCTTAAAGTCTGTATTTCGACTGTTTTGAATGGTATTGCGTACCTAAGTGTCTACAGTAAGGTTAACCTCAATGTCGAAGAATACATCGTTACTTTCATCGATATATGAACGATAAAAATTTCCATGGGTAAATCCTCGTTGTTAGTTGATGTTAATTGTTAACGGCACGTGATTCTCGTTCGTGATTCGAGGAAACCTTATTCGCTGGTACCCAGTCTATGCACACATCTGTTAATAGTAAGTATGGAGACGGAGTACCAGTCTGTCATCACCGATGCCATCTTGTCAGAATTAGATGCAATTGCATACTATAACAGCATAAATTTTTGGGTTTTTTTGGCTTTAAAGTTTCTGTAATAAGTAGGGTATCTGCTCGCAGGCGAGACGATATTTCGCTACATGGTTTTACAGATTTTGGATGTATTCGGGAGACGATTACTTTAATTTGTGGCGTCGTTAATCTTGGCAGGTGTATCAGTACGCGGCGGCGGCCAACAGTGGAGCTATGCACTCTAGTCAGCAGCAGCAGCAGCAGCAGGTCAAGTACATGTGAGTACATGATACTGGTCGTTACCACAGTGAAGTCGTTAACGCCACGGTACCCACCTGTCTTCCCATAGGGACCCAGTAAAACCTGGTAATGATGGTTGAAGGCGTACAGCCATTCCACGAATTGAAATCGACCATTATACTTAATTATTATTATTATTAGCTCATCTGACGTAGTCAGATGCAGCTTGTAGAATCGCATGATCGTGCGTGCGTCCGTCCGTGCGTGCGTCAACAGTTGGGCACAAATCTTAACCGCTCGACGTACGGTGACGATATTCGGGACGTGGGGGGGGGGGATCGTGAAAAGGACTCGGGATGACCAATTTGGGGGTCAAGGGTCAAAGGTCAAA